ATTCAAGTAGAATTAAGCTTGGGACTATATTTTGTGGCGGAAGGTTTTTGCAGACGAAAATGATCAGTTTTTCCATTTTGAACTATAACAGTACTGTAAATTTTGGATTCCTATTTTTCCATCCTGGTTGCACACAAAGCTGTTTTTTGCAGTGAAATGTGTTATGCTGGTTCTGAAATATCTATTAAATTATTTCCTATGAATTCTGTCAACAAAGTGTGACAAATATAGTCAATATATTCTGAAAATCCGGGGAAAAATTGAGCCGATTTTAACGTAAAATTGACACTTTTTTAGTAATATCTGAAAATTTACATCATATACCCCCACTTTTGATGTTCTTTTCTAAATATTCAAGATAAATTTGACCTATTTGCTTAAAATCAGAAAAAGTTTAAGACTTTAAAATAATTTTCTTGCTTATTAAATTTTCAATGCCAGAAAAATCACTTTTTATTAGTGCAGAAAGGTCAAATAATTGATTATGCGAAGCAATTTGAAACTTTTTCTTTGTCACAATTTTTAGGTATCTCTTTTTAAACAAACTTAGAGTTCATTTTGTTTCATGCTTTAATTGGATAAAAATGTTGGAGGGAAAACGTCAAAAATTTAATTTTTATTAAGACACAAATTTCAGTGCAAGAAGGTCATATTAAATGTACTGTAGCGCCAAAAGAAGCATATTGACCCCCATTTTCTGATTTGAATTTTATTTAAGCTATGTATGTAGAAACTAAAAATACACTTGTCAAAAAAAGTTTAAGACTTTAGATATCAGGATCGAACGTCGTTAAACAGAAAACGCAATATTGCAATGAAAAAAAAAACGGGAGGGTTGCATCCCCCCCGCACAACGCGTGCCTACATTTTTAAAAAAAAAAAAAAATTCTTTTAAATTCCTACCCAACTAGAATTCAAAGTTCTTAATTACAAATTTCTAGTTCATCCCACCTGCATCCTCGATGGATTTTATTACCTTTCTACATAATATATGTTGTTTATTAATTTTCATGATTTTTCGCATATCATATAATTATGTGCATGTACAGTGTATATGAATAGGTATTATATCGCATACGTACAAAATAATTATTTTTTCAACTCTTTATGATTAAAACACTTGCCTTTTTCCCAAAGTTGTGTACAGACTAAGAACTTACGCCTACTCATGAGCAGGCCTAGATTTAAACCAAAATTTAGTCTCGACTAAGTCTCCGCCTTTTTGTGAAACGCAACTTAGTCCGACTTCCGGGTTTAGTCACTGATTTAGTCCGGACTAAGCTTACGACTGGTCGTAGGCCTTTTTGAGAAACGAGCCCCAGGAGCTTCCAGGGGCTTTGCCTCCCGGGCCCCCACCAGGGCTTTGCCCTGGACCCACTGGGGGCCTCAAGGCGGCTCCAAGACCCCCTGCCTATTTTTGGCGCCCTCTCTAACTTAAATTCCTGGATCAACGCCTGAATGTTATATTATATATTTATATTATATATCTCTAACATTATTTATACACGTAAAAAATGATAAAAGAAAACAGAGGAAAATGCACAGAGATAGAAACAAGAGGCCAACGGGCCTTATAGGTCACCTGAGTATCATGTAACAACTTTCCAACAATTGATTTGTGTTTTAAACCAGAGGCCATGAAATTCACAATTTTGAAAGAGGCACCATTGCTTATCATAATTATAAACTTGGCATGCTTACGCTATTTACTTAATACCCAGAGGTAGATCAGAGTAACAAAGAGAAAATGCACTTCCACTTTATAACCAGTTGTGCACACCCCCCCAAAGGAACCACTGACCCTGGAGCAACATATTTCAAAGTTTTGGAAATGTTATCACAAATTTTATTTCATCATAAATGGTTGATTAATACCAAAGAGCAGATTTCAAAGCATTAATTTATTTTCAGACTATGTACCCCCCCCCATACGATACCTCTGACCCAGGGGGCATGAAATTAACCATTTTGCTAGATGCACCTTTCTTCATCATAAATATATATACTTGGATCATTAGCATAATACCCAGGAGCAAAGGAAAATATTTTCAAAGAATTAATGTATTTTTACTATATAATCAAAAGACCCCCTCCCCTTTACACCAAATGGCAAAACCTCTAACACAGGGGCCATGAAATTCAAAATTTTGAAAGAGGCACTCTTGCTCATCATAACTATGTACTTAGTTTATTTAATACCCAGGGGAGAAGATTTTTGAAGAAATAATGCATTTTCACTATATCATCAATAGAGCCCCGCCCTAACACCAGAACCCCTGCATGACCCTGGGGCCATAAAATTCACAATTTTGGAAGAGGCACTCTTGCTCATCATAACTAAGTACTTAGTAAGTTTTTTTACTACCCAGGAGCAGAGAAGAAGATTTTCAAAGAATGAATGCATTTTCACTATATAATCAATAGAGCCCAGCCCTAACACCACAACCCCTGACCCTGGGGCCATAAAATTCACAATTTTGGAAGAGGCACTCTTACTTATCATAACTATGTACTTAGTTAGTTTATTTAATGGCCTGGGGCAGAGGAGAAGATTTTCAAAGAATTAATGCATTTTCACTATATCATCAATAGGGCCTCGTCCTAACACCAGAAACCCTGACCCTGGGGCCATAAAATTCACAATTTTGGAAGAGGCACTCTTGCTCATCATAACTAAGTACTTAGTTAGTTTATTTAATACCCAGGAGCAGAGAAGAAGATTTTCAAAGAAATAATGCATTTTCACTATTTAATCTATATCGCCCCCCCCTAGCACTAGAACCCCTGACCCTGGGGCCATGAATTCCACAATTTTGGTAGAGGACTCTGAATGATTATCACAATCCTGTCAACAGTTTGTCTGCTTGATGTCCAGGAGTAAAGAAGAAGATTTTTAAAGATTTCATTAATTTTAGTGGTTTTGGCCCCGCCCCTCAGGCCCCAGGGGGGCAGGGACCACAAAATTCAAAATTTTTGTTCCTCTTCTCCCATAGATGCTGTATACAAAATTTGGTTGAAATTGGTTCAGTTGTTTCAGAGAAGAAGCTGAAAATGTTCAAATGTTAACACATGACGGACGACGGATGACGAACGACGGACGACGACGGACAAACACGGATGGCAATAGGTCACCTGAGTGACTCAGTTGACCTGAAAATAGAAGCATAGATAAGAAACACGCACTGTGAGACTCGAACTCACGATCATTTTGTCTACTATCCAGCAATTATACCACTACGCCATGAAGTCATTGTAATCGCATGAATAAATTTAAGACAGATTGTTGAATCTTAAAATAATTTTGAGAAGAAAAATTAAATACCTATAAACAAAATTATCTAAATGTATTTTCAATATGAAGACCAAGGGCCTATAACATCAAAATTATCTGAATGTAATAAAGTGCAAAGTCATATCCAAATAAAATTATTCAGAAGTTGTTTTTCTATATATCCCTATGAAAACTCTAAGCCCCAGGTGGTCTTACCTGAGAATAATTTCATAGTTTGTCATTGTTTTAAAAGATTTTTCCTACATATTTCTATGTAAAACTTTGGTTGGCCATTTTGACCTAGCCCCGGGTATTTTGAACAATTGATTCTCCATATAAAGTTTCTCTTTCCTATTCCAGTGGTTCTTGAACATATATTTTGTTAAACTTTATCATATGAGGGAGCTATTAATATTTAAATATTTTTTTGTGTGATTTTAAAAGATTTTTCTTATAAGGCATGTATAATTTGACAAACTTGAATCTACACTACCTGACCACATGAGTTTCATCTTTCCTGGCCCAGTGGTTCTTGAAAAGAAGATTTTTTAAAAATGCTATTAATTTTTCACTAATTCATAATTATCTCCCCTTGGAAATTTTGGAATCCCCTTTACCCAACTTTGTGCCAAGTTTGGTTGAAATTGGCCCAGTAGAAGAAGATGAAAATGTGAAAAGTTTACGACGACAACGACAACGACAGACAATGGACAAATTTTGATCAGAAAAGCTTAAGGTGAGCTAAAAAATCATTACTAGAGTAGGCGAAAGTGACTATCAAATGCGCTATGGCTCTTTGGTTGAAACTGGTTGAGTGGTTGCAGAGAAGATGCTGAAAATGTTCAAATGTTAACGCAGAACTATGGACAAAAACAGATAGCAATAGGTCAAATGTTTGTTCTAAAGTAATCCATGAAACAAAATCTGAGCAGAGCAAATACTCAACTTAAATCACTTGGGAAAGATGAACTTTATACATGTATGCAGTTGATATTGGTATACTGCTATATAGATAAGGAAAGTTAATTGTACATAACATTTATCACAAAGATTTTTACAGATCATGTTTGTTCCCAAATTGTATTAATTAAATGGACTCTTGAGTATGATAACTATTTGTTATCGGCTTGATATTCCGCTTCAGCTTGAAAATGGTCAGTACCGTATAAGTAGAATTTTTAGCGAGGATTTAATTTTGGCATTATTAGCGAGACTGCCGAGATCGCTAAAATTGAATATTGCTAAAAATTAATTATGGTTTATTTGTAATAGCTTCTTTAATGTGCATTTTAAAATTGCTAAAATAGCATCTCACTAAAAATAAAATACCAATTTTAAGGAGAAATCGCTAAATTTGTGTCTTGCTAAAATTTTCACTTATATGTAGTATTTCAAAATGTTTGAAAACTAACATAAACATAATTTTCACAAGATTGGGTCAATCAAAATTACTCCTTTCAGAGATACCTAAACTCAGATCATTACAATTTAAAAGTAAGGTCATTAAAATGTAAAAATGTAAATATTCCGAGACTTTATCCTAGAGGCAGTCTGCAGCAGACCCGGTACTGGTGTATGCACTCTTTATACAGATCTTTCCCTAGTCTCTTTCTCCTTCTCGTCCTATGACAACCAAATAAGGACACAAAAATAGTTCAGTTGTCACACAGGCATTCGGCAAACCTTGGCTGATTCTGTCATCTTCAAAACAAACTAGAATATGTACACATAATGTGGGAGAGAATTTATTACAAATTACTGACACTTCCACAAACTGATCATCTCTACTTTGTATTTTAAATTCCTTTGAGTCAACATGCCTTCAAAGTACTCAGCAACTTAAAATGATCACAATGGAATTGATATCCATAAAACAGAGCACAGGTAACAGTTCATTCATTATCAGCTCTTAAAACTCACTCTTACTGTTAGTTTGGATGATAAATATATATTATTAAAACAGTTACTTGATCCGAAGGGTCGTATCACGTCGAGTTGATGATCCGGAAAGTCGGATTACAACGTCAAGTAATTGCGTAAAATCAACAGTAAAATTGAGTGATACACATAAGGTATATAATAATTCAATGGAAAATGAAGTCTGATTTGAAACATTTTAAAAGTCTATTTACATGGCAAAAAGAAAACTTAAAAATAAAACTGAATTAAATCAAGTTCATTATTAAATTTTTTAAAAAAATGAGCTCTCTCAGTTTTCTGAAGGGTAAACAAACAGTCAATTAACACTCTGTTGTTTACAGTATATTTTCTGAATATGTTCAACATACTAGAATGAGGTTTAAAACAATTAAATGAGAAATCGTCATACACTTGTGTCAAGACAGATCATTAAAATATAACAATTGATCTGTATATATAAATCAGTAACAGGAGTATTTGTCCTAGTATAAGTTAGTACCTGTTTCATGTTTTCAAGCTATTTACATATATGTCAGGAGATGTACAAAGAATGGCACAAAGAAAAAAAAATAGTAGTACACATCAATTATTACCAAATTTATTGCACACACACATAAAGTAGAAAAGACAAATGCTATTTACACTTAATGACTCCCCCCCCACCAAAAAAAAAATACAAAAAATTATCATTCATTATCAAAATGAAATCATCAACTATAAAAAATTAATATAAAATCAAACAGGTACACAGTCTATAATCAATATGGGTATGCTGAAATTGATATATGAATCATAAATGTAGTTTGATACTGTAAGACCCCTGTTACGGCGTTATAAGATTTGGCTCTCACTTTGATTTTATACGTCTCTAGCTCTTCTAGGGGTTGCTCTGTGAACAGAATCCCTGACCCCTCGTGGAGCCTCAACTGGAAATTCACTTTAGGGTCATTCTCCAGGATAATAAAGTCATTCTTAGTCATTTTAACATTATTTTGATTCAACACAGTGAGTCTAATTAAATCCTGCTGAGGTAAAATTCCACTGGGGAGAGCCAGAGTTCGGAACTCAATGACATCAGCATACTTAGCGCCCTCTGGACATAGAGAGGAATCCACGCACTCCAACACGCAGTATCTGAAAACAGGGGATACAACTTTGACACAGTAGTCTGCAGTACTAATCAGACTTGACTATTTATAAACCATGTTTCTAATTATCAAGGACATGTAATTAATTTTGTATGTTGCGCCTCTGTGAAGTTATTTTAGGCAACTATGTGCTTTTTAAGTTAAAAGAGACTTAATACTTTTTAAGTAGATCTGTGAATAGTTATCCAAAATGTGAAACTTACTCTGTGATTTCTTCCTGAAAAATTTAACTTTGGTTGTAACGTGTCATTTGATTGGATATAAAATTAATCTAAATTGTATAATCTTGTTTGCCTATGTCACAATGACTTACGTCAAAGACGTATCAATCCGCTTGACGTTACGTTTAAAATATGAACACTTTGAAGGCTAATTTATAAATGTCTATATTTCATATACTTTTCCAAAAATTAAATTGTAAGTGGATTCCCTCCGGTAGTTCAAATCAAATTATACTTTAAGTGGCTCATAGGTAGTTTATGCCTTTTTATAAACCGCTGTGTAGTTTATATAGATGACTTACTTTGTAAGTATATTTGTGTGTATTTATATAGATGATTTACTTTGTAAAAGTGGATTCTGTGTGTAAGATATAGATGATTTACTTTGTAAGTGGATTCTGTGTGTAGTATATATACATAACTTGCTTTGTAAGTGGATTCTGTGTGTATTTTATTAGATAACTTACTTTGTAAGTGGATTCTGTGTGTAGTTTATATAGATGACTTACTTTGTAAGTGGATTCTGTATGTAGTTTATATAGATGACTTACTTTGTAAGTGGATCCCGTGTGTTGTTTATATAGATGACTTACTTTGTAAGTGGATTCTGTGTGTAGTTTATATAGATGACTTACTTTGTAAGTGGATCCCGTGTGTGGTTTATATAGATGACTTACTTTGTAAGTGGATTCCGTGTGTAGTTTATACAGATGACTTACTTTGTAAGTGGATTCCGTGTGTAGTTTATATAGATGACTTACTTTGTAAGTGGATTCTGTGTGTAGTTTATATAGATGACTTACTTTATAAGTGGATTCTGTGTGTAGTTTATATAGATGACTTACTTTGTAAGTGGATTCTGTGTGTAGTTTATATAGATGACTTACTTTGTAAGTGGATTCTGTATGTAGTTTATATAGATGACTTACTTTGTAAGTGGATCCCGTGTGTAGTTTATATAGATGACTTACTTTGTAAGTGGATTCTGTGTGTAGTTTATATAGATGACTTACTTTGTAAGTGGATTCTGTGTGTAGTTTATATAGATGACTTACTTTGTAAGTGGATTCTGTATGTAGTTTATATAGATGACTTACTTTGTAAGTGGATCCCGTGTGTAGTTTATATAGATGACTTACTTTGTAAGTGGATCCCGTGTATAGTTTATATAGATGACTTACTTTGTAAGTGGATTCTGTGTGTAGTTTATATAGATGACTTACTTTGTAAGTGGATTCTGTATGTAGTTTATATAGATGACTTACTTTGTAAGTGGATCCCGTGTGTAGTTTATATAGATGACTTACTTTGTAAGTGGATTCTGTATGTAGTTTATATAGATGACTTACTTTGTAAGTGGATCCCGTGTGTAGTTTATATAGATGACTTACTTTGTAAGTGGATTCTGTGTGTAGTTTATATAGATGACTTACTTTGTAAGTGGATTCTGTGTGTAGTTTATAAAGATGACTTACTTTGTAAGTGGATTCTGTGTGTAGTTTATATAGATGACTTACTTTGTAAGTGGATCCCGTGTGTAGTTTATATGACTTACTTTGTAAGTGGATCCCGTTTGTTATTTATATGACTTACTTTGTAAGTGGATCCCGTGTGTAGTTATCAGGACAGGGAATATCTATACAGCTGACATCACCTCTCTTGTTGAAGCACATCCTCTCTGGTCCACAGTCAATACTGGATGTGATGCATTCATTAATATCTGTAAACACACATTTTCCTTTTTAATTTTCCACAAAAAAATCTTGATCCCTTCATAAACGTTTTTTTTTAATCAAAAATATAATGAAGTTAAAATATTATTTTTTCAGTTTAAAGTTTAACACAATTCATAAAAGGAATGTTTCAGCCATTTTTGTTCTGATTCTCCCTGTATCTGAGGTCCCCTAATTTGGACACTGTTCCATGTAATCAGTTGACACCAGTGTACTTGTACTTGGTAATGATAAAAATGTTAATACTTCGTCTACGGCAGGAAAGTAAGATACCAAAGAAACTTAATTATTATTATAGTTTTACAGGTCAGTGCAGTATACAAACAAACACAGATACACATAACTGCAACAAAATGTTAACAAAACAAGAGGCCCATGGGCCTTATAGGTCACCTGAGCATTATGCAACAACTTTCCAGTGATTGAATTTGATTCATGTTTTAAGCCAGATGCTATGGCATTCACAATTTTGAAAGAGGCACCATTGATCATCATAACAATACACTTAGCAGTTGCTTAGTTTGTATACTTAATACCCATATGCAGGGTAAGGGAACACAAAATGCATTTCAACTAATCAGTAATATTCAGCAATAATCAGTAGTGCCCCTACCATACATGAACCCCTGACCCTTAGGCCTTGATATTTGATTAATACCAAGGAGCAGATTTCAAACCATTCATTCATTTTCAGTATATAAGTACAACCCCCCCACCCCCTCTATGGTACCCCTGACCCTGGGGCCTTGAAATTCACAATTGTGGAAGATATGGGCCCTTGTCCATCATAACTATATTGGTAGTTCATCTGCTTAATACCCTGGAGCAGAGGAGAACATTTTCAAATATTTAATGCATTTCTACTTTATATAATCAATAGAGTCCCACCCTAACACCAGAATCCCTGACCCTGGGGCCTTAATATTCACAATTTTGGAAGATGTACACTTGCTCATCATAACTATATACTTAGTTTATTTATTTCCTAGGAGCAGAGGAGAAGATTTTCAAAGAATTCATGTATTTTCACTATATAATCAATACAGTCCCACCCTAACACCAGAACCCCTGACCCTGGGGCCATAAAATTCATTATTTTGGTAGAAGCACTCTTGCTCATCATAACTATGCACTTAGTTAGTTTATTTATTTCCTAGGAGCAGAGGAGAAGATTTTCAAAGAATTCAGGTATTTTCACTATATAATCTATAGAGCCCTGCCCTAACACCAGAACCCCTGACCCTGGGGCCATAAAATTCACAATTTTGGTAGAGGCACTCTTGCTCATCATAACTACGCACTTAGTTAGTTTATTTTATACCCAGGAGCAGAAAAGATGATTTTCAAAGAATTCATGTATTTTCACTATATAATAAATAGAGCCCCGCCATAACAGCAGAACCCCTGACCCTGGGGCTATAAAATTCACAATTTAGGTAGAGGCACTCTTGCTCATCATAACTATGCACTTAGTAAGTTTATTCAATACCTAGGAGCAGAGAAGAAGATTTTCAGAGAATTCATGTATTTTCACTATATAATCAATAGAGCTCCGCCCTAACACCAGAACCCCTGTCCCTGGGGCCATAAAATTCATAATTTTGGTAAAGGCACTCTTGCTCATCATAACTATGTACTATGGTTTATTTAATACTCAGGAGCAGAGAAGAAGATTTTCAAAGAAATAATGCATTTTCACTACCTACTTATTTAGCCCCGCCCTAGCACTAAAACCCCTGACCCCAGGGCCATGAATTTCACAATTTTAGTAGAAGACTCATTGTTGATTACAATCATGCAAACAGTTTGACTGCTTGATGTCCAGGAGTAAAGAAGATTTTTAAAGATTGCACTAATTTTAGTGGTTTTGGCCCCACCTCACAAGACCCAGGGGGGCAGGGATCATGAAAATCACAATTTTTGTTCCCCTTCACCCATAAATGCTTTATGCCAAATTTGGTTGAAATTGGTTCAGTGGTTGCAGAGAAGAAGCTGAAAATGTTCAAATGTTAACGCACAACGCACGATGACAGATGAAAACAGATAGCAATAGGTCACCTGAGTTTATTCAGGTGACCTAAAAATGAAAGAAATGCAAGATAACCAGCAAGAACATGGGTTGCCATTCCACGCCGATATCCATGACAATAAAGCACTCAGGTATAACAAATCTGATGAGTATACCCTGGACAGGTATTGATGTATTGTAGATAATGATATCAAATCTGGTGTTTGCCTATTTACGAGTCGTGTACAGCTTTGATTTATAGTCAAATACTTCAGGTCTTTATTTTGCAGAATCTTTGCCCATGCATTCTATTTATTTCACTGGCTATAAAAATATTATATCTGTAAGGTAGGGAAAGCAGTTCTATATAGTCATGTTTTTTTTGTTTTTACATCTACAGCTTTTGGATGACATAGCTTCCACCTAAGATAATTTACTTAATTTTCTTTCCATTTTCTTTTCTTTTTTGTGGTGGTGGGGGTGGTGGTAGTGGCAGTGTTGGGGGGGGGGGCATTATACAATTGTGTAGCTGCCTTACCCACACAATTCCTGCCATTTCTTCCTAACTTATAGCCTGGGGGACAGACACACTGGTACCCTCCAATTGTGTTATTACAGCTGTGTTGACAGATCCCTGGATCCTCACTGCATTCATTGATATCTGTAACAATAGAAAATCTCATAAAGAACACATAACATTGAAATCTCTCACAATGGAAAATCTCACATGGATCACAAGACGAAAGACCACCTTTAAGCAATCGCTTAATGGTAGCTTAATGGTGACTTAATGGTGGCTTAAAGAAGTTAATTCCTTTAAGCCACCATTAAGCCACCATTAAGCTGCAACTTACAGGTGCTTAATGTCCAAACTTCATTACGCTACCATTAAGCCACCATTAAGCTGAGCTTAATGGTGACTTAATGGTCAACCCTCATTAAACTTTTACGCATCTTATATAGAATCTTTGAACTAACTTTTAGTTATTTTAATATCATTTACGCAAAATCTATTCCAACTCATAATTTTGTCTCGATCATAATTTACTAACAGTTTTTTGTCAACATGCATAAACTTGATCACTGGGAACAAAGTTAGCTAATAGCCACAGGGGCTTGCTCGAGGTTAGTTGAATTTTTTTAAAAAAATCATTTACAGTGATAGTAAAACAAGACATCCTGTATCAGAACCGTATATTATTTTTTTTAAATAAATCATTATTACATGCGTTGTTTTTATTTTTAGTGTATATGATTTTTAAAAATAAATAATTATTACACACCGTGAGCAAATCATTGTGAAATATCTTAAATTTACAATACCAAAAATCAATTTGTTCTTAAAATTATCTATATTCATGAACACAAAATATATATTACTTTTAAAAACAAAATGGTTTTTTTATTTCATGTGTTAAAAGAAACATTCCGCTACAAATTACAGGAATATAACTATATAATCTATAAAAAAAAAAATCTGCCCTTTTTTTTTGGGGGGGGGGGGCTACTGGTATACAAATGTTTAGTTTTCAAAGATTGACTTTTACCATGAAAAACTTTTTAATGGCTTTTACATCATGAATAATTTTAATTAATTCCTTATTTCTTTTTTAATAATACAGCGGTAAGTATCTGTCAAAATCTAGTCGGTCTTCAATATGATTGTTATTTCAAAATCGATTTTCAGAGGAACGGCCGATCAGATTCAACATGACATCCGACCAGATGTATACACATTGAGAAACGGGGAAAGATTAACAGATGATCAGTGTACAGTAAACCGACTGGTCAACAACAGATCTTAATTAGGTGCCCCCCCGTCCCCGGTTAACTAACAGGAAACTATACATACACAACGTACACTGACAGATTTTATGATCAATTATTTTTACAAAATTTAAATTTAACCCAACAAAAACAAATTAAAAATTATGATTCATAGTAAAAAGTCAATTATTTTGATACCCATTATGATACAAAAAGAATTGAAACTGAACATGATATTTCAAAAAAAGTTTTTGTAAACGTAATATAACCAGGTAACTCTTACGCGAGGATTGTCACTAAATTGTTGACACAGAAACCGTTAATCCGCAGTATATTAAAAATAATAGTAGAATCTGTTTTTTCCTCTTTCTTTTTCGATGATAGATTTTTGTGTTTTATCTATAATTAATTTATTTTCAATCATGATTTAATGCTTACATACAAAATTTTCGAATAACAGAGCGAAGAACTCAATCACATTACATCAATCTAAAAGCCGAACTCAATGTAAAAATATTAATGTGTTATAAGCCTTTCAAAAAGATCCACAAATAAAATTGCTTATATTTTGATTAATAAATCAATTCAAGACTTTTTGGGAAAAGTTCAACAAAATATAGTAGATACCTTTACATGTCCAAACAAATTTTGAAAAAAATAAAGGTTAAATATTTAATATTTTCCATATATTGACAAGAGCGGCATAGTAATGGATAAGGCGTTCGCCAAACCCTCAGGTCATGGGATCGCGCCCTGTCTGTGGCGTTTTTTTTAATTTTTGAATTTCGTTCTTTTTCATTATTTTTACCAAATCAAGATATGTGCGAACTCTACATTTATAATATTGATAACAAATCACCATAAAAATAATTTTTCACCCATATAAACAATATTATCGACTGCGTAATGTGGCTTAATGGTGGCTTAATGGTAGCTTAATGGTAGCTTAATGGAGTTTGGACATTAAGCACCTGTAAGTCTAGTTTAAAGGTAGGAATTTATTAATGGTGGTATGAAAGCTACAATTAAGGACCTGTAAGCCTCCATTAAGCTAAAATTAAGCTACATTTCAGCACCCATTAAGGACTTTGAAATGGCTTAATGGTAACTTAATGGTGGTGTAAATGTTACTTAAAGGTGTTAAATGGTGACTTAAGGGTGATTAAAACAACCATTAAACCACCACTAAGGACCTATAAGCCACCTTTAAAACCCGGATTAAAGGGTGTGTTTCATCTTGTGGATTACACAAAACATAACATTGATTTTAAGCATTTTTTTTTTAGTGGTCTTACACTTCTAGTACATCGAAGGGAGACCTGAAATTGTTGTATTAGATGGATTTACCTGACTTCTAATAAAACATTTGTTGAAGAGATTTTTTTAAAGTTATAAGGGATCTGTTCCTTTTATTTCACAAGAACATAAAAGGACAAAATTCATTTCTTAGAGGCACCATTTACTGTGAGTTTTGGGTCCTGTGCTGGTACATACCTACACAACTTTTAGAAGTTGAATTAAATCTGAACCCTGACAGACATTGGGATCTTCTACTTCGTCTGAAACATTTTCTGGAATGAGCACAGCCATTCTGAGGCCTACGGTTTTGTCCTAAAGGTTTTGAATTCTGGTAGCCATGGCTACTTTTTGGCAATTTGGACGGTAGGTTAGATCTCTAGCCCTACAAGCAGAATTCTCCTTTTACATTTTGAACTTATTTTATACTGTGATTTTGTAAAAGTATTAATCTTTTTTTTGTTTCCGGACATTTTTTTTAAATATAGAAAATTGTGAAATGTATGTACCAGCACATGACTGTTTCTGTATAGGGGATTAATTTCACAGGTTGTAATTTTCACGGTTTTCTCTCATCAGACACAATCACGGTTTCTTGAATTCGCGGAATTCTTATTTTATAGAAGTTACCTCCCTTGTCTATATCCGTTTAATCAATACCATAGCTATATGTAAACAAATTCATCATTCTTATGTCTTAATTTCACGAGAACAGGTTAGGTTAATATAAAATAGTTATAGACTTGCTAAATAATTGACGATTCACTAAAACAGGTGCAGTTATGAAAAGTCCTTGACTATAAACGTCATTTGAATGACTTTTCTGTATGCTTAATTACAATGAGTGCATGTACACCCCAAGATCTTCAAAACAACGCGGCGAAAAACCACTGGACGGTAATAAATGTGTTAATGTCGATGAAATAATATCCTTCCAAATCTTCAGTAAGTTCGATAGTTATTTGAATGATTTTTTTCAATCAAAATGTCGATAAAAAATATAATATGCATGATAATGCAGGTAATGCACAAACAGTGCATGGTAACATTATAGTTACGCACGGGTAATCAAAACTCATGGCCCACGTGTTTTGATTGATGAAACATGTAGCATTGGCTATTAAAAAGCCTTTTAACAAATACAGGTTATTATCTGTTGACTTGAATTAATGTAAAGTGTGCTAATTAAAATAATCTAATGACATGTACTACTCGTAATTACTGAAATGACCATGTACTGTGGTACATGTATTTAAACCTATCGTAGTCTATTCTCAAATTTCCAAATAAAACATGGAGATTATTGAAAAATTATTCACTGTTTCTTGAATTCACGGATTTATTATCACCGTGAATATATAGTGAATATTAACACCACGAGTTATTTTCCCCCTATACAGTATATATTTTCTTTTTTATTGAGAAGCCTATGTGTGAAAATTATGTAAATGGGATAAACAAAGTTTGTGTCAAAAAGACCTGTAGCTTTTCTATTGTTGAGCATTTGGACATCTGCAGCATTTTGAAAACATGATTAAAAGTAGTGTTACTATCAACAGGTTACTTCAACAGAAAAGAGATCACAGAGGAAGTGAAAGAACTCTTAGACAACGAATTCCCTGAATTTGAACACTTAAAGATAGTTTCTGACAAACTGGTGAGAATGATGTGTGGTCGAACCACAGCTGGACTCAGACAACTCGCAACACGGACCATCTTCAAACAAGTCTTCCTCCAAAGTACCAAATCCCTGGGAAAACTCCTGCCATCCACTTCCTTAAAATCCTGTCTCAAGAACGCAGACCTCCACCAGATGGACGTTTACGACGAGTACATTAATCTGGTTCTGAACCGGACGGTTCTCCAGGCTCTGGTTGTGCGGCTGGGACTTCCCGGGGATTCCCTGGTTAACTTTGAGGTGGAGCTTCTCCTCCACCAGATGGCGAGTCGGTTCTCCGGATTTAAGGTGGTTCCTCCCGAGAGCCCGTACAGTGGTGAGAGCGGGGAGAGTTCCGTGTCGGACGACAGCGATTTGTCCAGCAGTCAGGATGAAGGGGATTCTGACTTGGAGTATTGGTGACCAAGAGTTGTGTCCCTTTTGTCCTCATTCAGAAAAAGATACATGTGTTTATTTCAAGAGATATGGTGGCCATATTACTGAGTGTTAGAAAGAGTACATGAATTAGGATTCTCTCATTCCCATGCTTTATCTAGAAATTTTGCTTTGAATAGTTAATGAGGAGTACCGGAAGCTGAAGTAATGTAAAGTTCTTGGAAGTGTTTTTTTAACATAAACCGCTATGTGCTAAAGTTGTCAAAGTGACTGCTTATTCCCATTTGAATCAAGTTATATACATGCACTGGCTTTATGAAACAAATGTCGACAACTATTGTGAATATTGTGACTCAGTGCTAGCTAAGCATAGTTATAAATGCCAGGATTTCACATACTTAATATGTGTACAGTTGTTATTTGGTTGCTGTAATGTAATATTATATAATCAGAAACATTTGTTAGTGTGAGCTTTAAGTCTGTGATGTTTTAATAGATGATCTTTATTTTATATGTTGTAGATTCTTCATTAGAGTTAAGCCCCTTTAACTCTAATCGTGGTATGAATGCCAAGTATTTTTATTTTGTTTGTTCCAATATTTGTTCAGATGAGTGATTCTTTAATTTGTTTTACATATGTATATAGCATTTATGAATGGTAAACTTGTACTTTTTTATTGAAAAACAATGTGGCTCAAAAAAAAGAGGTCCCATCTTTTTATGTACACATTCATGAATACATTACTATTTAATATTATGACTGTATGTTCAAGTAATACAGGTGTTTTGTATTCAAGGTTTCTCATTTTTATTTTATTCTACACCTGATTTTGTTAAAGTAATGTACCTGTTTAGTAAAATGAAAACAAAAATATATATTGGAATTCTTAGTAAAATCAATCTAGAGGTTTTGGGATTACCCAATTTTCACTGTTACAATGCATGTACAGCTCAATTTAAGTTTAGTTTTTGCATGTCTTAATACTTGTATCATAAATGAGAAAACAAGCATTCCCTAAAATCATTTTAATTTTATTTCATCACATACATATCAATCTGTACTTTAAGATCTGAGCTAAGAATTAATCAGCTAGGAGACATGTTAAAATCTTGTTCAAAAATAATCTCCAAGATAAATGGAAATTTAATTAAAGCATCATAAAGGGAAAAAATTCATATGAAAAATGTTAAATTTGTTTGAATTGTTGAAAGGCACGTCTTCATTGTAATCTGGTACTCTCTTAAACATTTATTTTGATATTGAATAGCACTGACCACCAACCATCAACCAATTTTTCACAATTGTACATTATCAGTACCCAGAATGTATTGTATATGACTATATCCAAGAATATGATTTTTAGTTTGATCTCCACCTAAATATACAATGTGTTATGAAAAACATGTACTTATTTGCCATGTACTTCAGTAAATGTTCAAACTGTTATTTACAGTATTAAAATAACGATCCACACATCTGAAGAATCAAACATGAATTTGATTCATTTTTTTTACATCATCTTATTCAAATCACAATACATTATTTAGAAATAAAAAGAATTTGAAGTACAAGATCCTCAATAACACTTAATTTATAGATAACTACCCCAATGAGAAAGTAATTTTTTTCACAGCAGCTTACTTGTGCAAGTATTATCCTCCAATTTAATTACCCTTGTTAGTGCTCGGTTTTGTTTTCATGTTTGTGTTTTATTGTTTTTGTTTTTTATACTTTTGAATCTAGACATATCAACTTCATAGTATGACAAACAACAACCGTTGTTATATTTTGTTTATTTTTATTTGAAATGCAATTCTGTGCTATATAAATAAAGAATCTTAGAATTATCGTTTTGTTTTTCAAATGGTCCAATTTTTTTTTTGTGTAGAATTAAAATAGTGTAGAACATTACAGTAAAACTCGTTTAGTACGAACCTAGATATGAATTACAGATATAACTAAGTAATTTCTTGAGTTCCAGTCACGTCGTTATAACCGAATTTTACTGTATTACCGTAAATCTGGCATTTTTTGCTGTAGATAATTTTTTAGCAAATTTGCGAGTTCATTTTATTTGCAAAAATATTTTTCTTAAAAATAAATCGCCAATAAGAAAATGTGAACAAACAGTGTTCATTCCCAAAATGTTGAAACGTAAAAGTTAATCAACAGCATTTTGAGCCGAATTCGCAAAATAAAATTAACAAAAATTTCCAGATTTACGTATTTATCGATTAACGGTACACTGGTCTTTACAAGACTTAATTATTAAGAGAAATGATTTTCTTGAATTCTAAAATCACCGTTAAGTCTTAAATTATTTTGTCGCAGTGGAAGGAAAAACAAGATGTGTTTGTGAAACACTATGCGCCCGGCGGCAACAAAGTTCAAAAATCTATTTTTAGCATATTGGTCAGTCAAGGTCACAAGGTCACATTGGTGTCGTTTGAAAGAACTCAATCGGTGGAGTATGCATACCAAATATGAAGTCCCTATTTCCTATGGTTCAAAAGTTATGGCAAAAAGTGTAAAAAGCTATTTTTAGCATATAGATCACAGTCAAGGTCATAAGATCATTGACCTTGTCGTCGTTTGTTAGGATTTTATTAGTGGAGTAAGTATACCAAATATGAAGTCCCTATCTCTTATGGTTCAAAAGTTAAGACAAACAGTGGAAAAAGCTATTTTAGCATATAAGTCACAGTCAAGGTCACAAGGTCATTGACCTTGTCATCGTTTGAAAGGACTTTATTAGTGGAGTAAGTATACCAAATATGAAGTCCCTATCTCTTATGGTTCAAAAGTTCTGAAAAACAGTGGAAAAAGCTATTTTTAGCATATAGGTCACAGTCAAGGTCACAAGGTCATTGACCCTGATGGCCCCAGGGTCAGGGGTTCTAGTGCTAGGGCGGGGCTATATAGATTAAGGTCACAGTGAAAATGCATTATTTCTTTGGAAAGGTTCTTCTCTGCAGGTAATAATATACATGCATTATATATGAATGCCCTAACTTTTCTCTTTCAAAATGATGAATTTATAACAATTTAATTTTTTTGCAAGTTGGTCAAACTTCTAGGTCACATGTAAAAAAAAAAAACCATGCCATTCTCACAGGTAAATATACTAATACATAAGTTTAATATGAATGTCTCTTCTCATTCAGTAGATATGACCGTGATAACCAAGGTTAAATTTATTGAAGACAGGGCTCTGATTGATCTTATAGTGAAAATGTACATATTTCTATATGAATTGGGTCTTGCTCCTGTGTAATAGATAAACGAACTACGTAAGAATAGTTATGATGAGCAAGAGTTACTGTACCTCTTTCAGAATTGTGAATTTTATGCTAAGGAAACCAAAAAAGCTCAAATGGTGTTTTGAAAGGGTTACTATTGATTTTATAGTGAAAAGCTGTTTTTTTTCTTCTCTGCTCCTGAGATATGATAACCAACTATATCATGTTATGATATTTTCTTTAAAAATTTGTTTGTTTGTTGTGAATATATTCTGGTATATAGGAGACACCACCAAATAATAATGAAGAAAATGCATTTGTTTGTGAAACACTGATGTCCCTATGGAAGCCTATGGATAAAGGTTATAGCTATGATGAGCAAGAGGGCCTCTTTCAAAATTTTGAATTTTATGACCTGAGGGTCAGGGAATGAAATAGGGCAGGGCTCTATTGATTCCTGTATAAGTTAATTGCCATTAATTTTTTGACAAGTGGTTCAAACTCTAGGGTCAAGGTCAAACATATTTATACCTGTTGACAGTTCACAATGAATACAATATGTCATCATAAGTATGAAAGCCCTAGCTCCTACTGATCAAAATTTAGGCAGTGTTTAAAGTTTGGTATTTTTCTTGTAAAAATGATGTATCCCATGTCAAGCGATCAGAGGTAAAAATTAATCTCCCAAATAAAAGGTATTATTAAATTGTCACATAGTTAATAAACCTATAAAATGTGGAAGCTATTTGTATAGCCCATCCCACTTAAAACTTATGGGCAAGCTAGCTAGGATTTAATTTCTGCAGACTTATAGACAGAGAAAAAAAATACTTCAACGGCAAACAATTATTATGGTATAATAATTAGTCAAATGGAAAAAATATACTATTTAACTGGAATAACAAAATACATTGTTAAATCAGGTCAAAATGGCGATTCAAAATGGCGGACATCCAATTTTTCCCATCTGGCATTTGCTTTGTTATTTAAACAAGACTATATACTGTGTAAAAAATGACTCTTGACATCCTCTCAACTATAAACTTTGATAATAGAATTGACCTCACTATCATTATTTTTTTATTTGTTTATTTGTTTTCATTTTTTTCTCCTGGGATGTCACGAAATTCTAAGTAATTGTAATTGAGTGTAATTAATTACATTTTTCAAAGTAATTGGAAGTAATTTGTATTTGAGATAGCTTTCATATTACAAGTAATTGAATGTATTTAAATACATTTCAAAAAAGGTCATGTATTTTCAATTACTTTTCAATTACATTTCAATTACTTTTTTTTTTCAAAATGAAACTTTATATTTAAAAAGGTGTTTTATACTGATACATAGTTTTATACTGGTGGGTTTATTACTTATTTCCATGTTTTATAAATCTCAGTTCTCCCTATTCCCACTTACAAATAACAATGATTGTTTAGATAGTTAATTTGTTTTACAGCAATTAGACTAACTACATCCCCTTTTAGATTTACTTGTATTCTATTCATTTTAACAGAGGAAAATAATGAATGGAATTGTGATAGATATTATTTATTTTTTCAAAAATATGGGGATTTTAGAAAGTAACAAAAAAGATCTTGCCATACACCATACTGGTGTAGCATGGGCTTATGTTTGTACAGGAATTAATTGTCACAAACGATATTAAATTTTAACAAACCTTTTCCATCTAGCCTATTCCAAAAAGTATGTGCTGTGTGATTGTGGTGTCGAGGGGGGGGGGGGGGGGGGGTTAGTAAATTTAAAAAGGTCCTATTATGAGCAAAACATATATCAAAATCTAATTTCAGACGCGGATCCAGAATTTTTTTCCGGGTGCGGGGGGGGGGGTCCACCTCAGTCAAAAAAAAAACCTATACCAGAAATTGAAAATCAAAAAAAAAAAAACCTAAAGTAAATCTCACCCAAACGTCAAAAACCTATAAAGTGGGGGGTAGGGTGGGAGTAGTGGTGACTTCTATTGCCGCAAATGTTTAACTTTTCATACTTATTTTACACATATTCGTGTTTACCACGGGGGATCTGCATTTTCCAAGGGGGGTCCATTGTAACTTTTTCCTTGTTTTAGTATATACATTTTTTAACCTTGTAAATTCCAGGGGGGGTCGGGTCCTGACCCCCCCCCCCCCCCCCCCCCCCCGACAGATCCGTGCATGAATTTACATCATTAATAAAATTCAGACTGGTATATAATGAATTAAACATGTATAAAATAAATATAAGAGGTTCTGAGTTATAGGTCACAGGGTCTGAGAATTTCATACTCAATTTGATGAATACATGTAAATTATAGAATTATTTTGACTATTTCTTTGGAAAGCCGCCCAATATGTAGGAGCGTGTATTTAGAGGCAAACACCTTAGTGCGGGTATTACTGTCTCATGACAGCATCTAGTTAGTTTGTATTTATGTCAAATAAATTTCTTGTACTTTTGGGTCTCTTGTTCTGGTTTTGAGAATGTTTAATCTGAGTAATTATACCCGCACTTTCTAAAGAAAGTTCGGGTATATTGTTGTTACTCATGTCCGTCCGTCCGTCCGTCTGTCACACTTTTCTTCCCTAAACTCCTCTTACATTTTACACAGTAGGCTAATCATCTTTTGGGAGATGGTTGGTGGTGTCATGTAGATGTGCAGTAAGGTTTTGGAATTTTGATATTGCCCCGGGGGGTCAAATGGGGGTCGAAAAATGACGTTTTTTATGCAAAAAGCCCCGTCTTCCCTGAACTCCTCTTACATTTTACACAGTAGGCTAATCATCTTTTGGGAGATGGTTGGTGGTGTCATGTAGATGTGCAGTAAGGTTTTGGAATTTTGATATTGCCCCGGGGGGTCAAATGGGGGTCGAAAAATGACGTTTTTTATGCAAAAAGCCCCGTCTTCCCTGAACTCCTCTTACATTTTACACAGTAGGCTAATCATCTTTTGGGAGATGGTTGGTGGTGTCATGTAGATGTGCAGTAAGGTTTTGGAATTTTGATATTGCCCCGGGGGGTCAAATGGGGGTGAAAAATGACGTTTTTTATGCAAAAAGCCCCGTCTTCCCTGAACTCCTCTTACATTTTACACAGTAGGCTAATCATCTTTTGGGAGATGGTTGGTGGTGTCATGTAGATGTGCAGTAAGGTTTTGGAATTTTGATTTTGCCCCGTGGGATCAAATGGGGGCTGAAAATGACGTTTTTTATGCAAAAAGCCCCGTCTTCCCTGAACTCCTCTTACATTTTACACAGTAGGCTAATCATCTTTTGGGAGATGGTTGGTTGTGTCATGTAGATGTGCAGTAAGGTTTCGGAATTTTGATTTTGCCCCGGGGGGTCAAATGGGGGTTGAAAAATGACGTTTTTTATGCAAAAAGCCCCGTCTTCCCTGAACTCCTCTTACATTTTACACAGTAGGCTAATCATCTTTTGGGAGATGGTTGGTGGTGTCATGTAGATGTGCAGTAAGGTTTTGGAATTTTGATATTGCCCCGGGGGGTCAAATGGGGTCGAAAAATGACGTTTTTTATGCAAAAAACCCCGTCTTCCCTGAACTCCTCTTACATTTTACACAGTAG